TTGCCCAGACTTTGCAAATTAGTAACTCGAATTCTACTAGGCCTTTGTCTGTTTGTTTTAACTACAGAGTTATAAATATCACACATACTTCAAAATGAATGGTAAAAACTTTGCTTTTTGCTGTGGCCTGTTATTTCGGTGTTGTAAAGCTTAAATGACTTTTTTGTCAAGAATTGGGACAGCTCTTTGCATTCCAATTTTATGGGAGGTGATGAAATGATTCAAGGTGTCATGTGATGCCTTGCTATTTGTGTTGGGTCTTATTTGTAATCAAGACTATTTTCTTTCACTGGTCCGTACCCATTGTTGTCACGTGACTAGTTAATTAAGTCAATGATACAGACAACTCTTGAAGTTTCTATAATTGGATGCCAATTTAACTTAGAGCTAATAACTGCTAATATAAACACGGCGACTGCATTGCCTCCCAATAATGATTTCCAATTGCCCAACAAATTCTACAAAAGGGTTAACTTATCAATGTGTTAGTTATTCAAGAGCCAATCTTTTGGAGCTTAAAGCAGGACACAAACGTCTACGTTCTAATAAACACCAAGAGCCCTGATTTCCTTCGTGCTGATTCAACCCACAGTTCCCATAACAGTCTCCAGGGGTTTATGAAAATGAATTTGAAAGTTTGCATAAAATTTGTCCAATGTTTTCCTATGTTATTGATGTTATTTTTATTGATGTTATTTTTTGATATAATAAAAAGGGGAAACATTAATTGTCCATCTACAAATTCAGAGTCATGTTCTAGTAAATCCCCCTTCTATGCCTCTGTAAAAGCTATTTTATAAGCTAGCCACACAAGACAAGTCGCATTGTTTGGGGGATTTTCCCTCTATCTCCCTCTCTCTCCCCCGTTGGGCCTTGTCTACTCGATTAACTTCGAAGATCATACTGGAAACTGCTTGATCATAAGTTTAGTGAATAATACCGCTTTCCTTTACGATACCAAACATTGAAACTGAATTCCAATAGTACATTGATCTTAATTTTTTTAACATCATTACTCAATCACGTCATTCCAACCGAGTTTGAGGAAGTAATGTGAGTAACACAACAACCACTTCGTTATTGCCGAAACGAGAAATCCCTTCTAATCTTTATCACGAACTGCTTAAAATCGCAAGAGTACTAGAAACCATCTAATTTCGATTACACCATAAGCCGAAGTCAATAAGATCAAAACGCAAAAATTTGAAATGAACTTAAACAAAGTTTTTGCAAGCCGTATTCGAATATTTATTTTCGATGCAAATTAGGGATGAGACATTAACTACTGGAAATTATTTTCCAAATATCGACAACAAGTGCCTTTGAAAAATAAGTGTTTTTTTGCAAAGAGTTGGTGGTGAAACCGTAAACATTTCTCTACTGACGCAATTTGATGGCAATAAAAGAATGCCGCTCAGAAAAAACAGCGTTATTTTGATTCGACTGGCTATATTAAAAAAGGACTTTGTGCAACAATGGTATCTAAGCAAGTAGTCAGCCAACTTGCCTTTGGAATTACATAAATCCCAGACCCATGCCTAGATTGGATCAGTGTTACTGACGAACTATTTGAATGCACTTGAAGTCAGTAGGAAGCAACTCAAACTCAACACTTGAACACTCTCCGAAATAATTGAGAAGTTGGAAGTTATTCATTTACCATCAACACTACCATATAATTTTTATAAAGAGCAGATCGATTGGCATTATTAGCCCTATAGTTTGTAAGTTAGGAGTTAAAGGAAGCTTAGTAACTATACTCAGAAATAACCCTACAACTGGTAATTGTTGTTGATGTCTTGAGTGTTGAAAGGCATAATTTCGTCTCCGAAATCCAATATTGTGGTTTATCTCCTGAGAATAGCAATGAATAATTGGTAAATCACTCATATTGTGCCGAAGGAATGGATTCCATCGTAATCATTCAAATCTTCATGCCAGGCTACCACGACAGCGGGAAAAATAAGTCAAAATATTTCACCCACTTCGAGGAGTAATCAAGTCATCCGGCTTGCTCAAAGTCATGCCTAAGGTGAATTGATCAAGACGTCAAGGAAATTTTGGAATTAGCAAAGTTATCTCCACCTCAAAGTCGATGAAGTTTACATTTGTCAATAGTATACGAATGTTGAAGAAGGAGGTGGCAATATTCTTGAACCGTTGGTAGGACCACTGTTGCCATGGTGCTACAGTCACTATGGCCTTTCGTGTCAAATTTCTTAGGTGGTTGTGGGGCCAAAATAAGACTGACATCCTCAAAGTTAACATCGAGTTTAATGCCAGGCTCTGGTAAAGATATTTTGAAAGAAGAGCTTATATTCTTTCGAGTTGAGAAGAGAAAAGTGATAAACCCGAATCCGATGAACTAGACGTATTCAATAATAAGCAGTACAGAGAATGTCTGGATGACCTTTTAATTGGAATTCTCTCAATTCCACACAAATTGTGGAGTCTTTCTGATTTTCTACTTCTGTAATGACCATCACCGTCTGTATACTCGAACAACAGGCACTCGTCTAATCTATGGACATAACGACCAATGGACATCCTCTTAACCCCTGAAGCATCTGAACATCTTCACGAGTCCTTTACTATCATCAACTCCACATTTTGCCATACTCGCAGAAATTACCATTCCCAAGCACTCATTCTCAAAAGCGAATTCAAATTTCACCATCTTCGACATATTTTGGAAGCATTTATTAGGCCTTTCTAAGTATTCCAACTACATTTATAAAATAAATAATGAATATTTTGCATCACTACATCTTACCATGCCAATAATGCATCATTGAGCTAATTCATTATGTACACGATTTATGCTAGTTCTGTTGATTCGAATGGAGATTGTGTGCTAAATTAAGCTGTGTTGGTGGAGATTTTTGATTACCGGATGGAACATATCCGTCGTGGTTACAACATACGCTTAATGCGTGCGAAGTCATAAATGTTGGGTAAACAATTTGCAAGCTCGCCTTCAAGGGCACATTGCTGATGGCATTTTCGCGACGGAGGTCTTTCGGCTGCCTTTGATGCATATTTAAACAGCAGAGACTACATGTCCAAAATTGAGACTAAAGTGTCACGATGTCGATTTGACACGAGTGTCTCAACAAGTTTCTCTTGCGTTAAAACCGACGCGATGTAATGACCATTAGGAGCCAATCAAGCTGTGGCTTGGATTGTTGTGAATTTGGGCGCATTGACTGGATTGGAGATAAAAAAAGACAAACTTAACCACACTCAATTTCGCTTCTTTAGACTAGTTTTATTTTTTCCAAGAAGGGGTGTGCGATAGACTTGCCTCCACGTGGTGCATCTTGGGCAACGTATACTCATACGGTAAAATAAGGTCCATTAACTGGCAGTTGACTTCTGACCTCAAACCCCACTGTATGTCATATTCGACCTCCACCACAGTACTCATCTTACCTTTTCTCTACCTTTATCTGTCTCTTTTACATCTGTAAATCACTCTTTTGTTCTCCCTCTCGACTTTTTCTCATTTTGACGTTCCTCCCCTCTCTGAAACTCGATGTCAGTAAAAGGGCTAATGATAGCTATCGAAACGCCTGCCATTTTATATAAATAAGTCAATCTTTTCCAAGAATGTAATCTGACAGTTCAAACTAGTTCATGTGCTTGAAGATTTGAACTGAATTTATCTTCATCACCAGGATTCCAAGTCTGTGGGTTATCATTTAGCAAGTAAGAGGAGTTTTTGAATTGTCTGTATCTTTCTTCAAGTAACTACAAAACTCCGTCTTTGGGAAACCTTACTTCATTTAATGAAAGAATACGAACGTAACAGGTAAAAATGGGAATTTTAAATTTATTCTTAAGCAATGATTTGAGGTATTGTCAATTGCCACTGAACGATTGTGATCTAACTGGTTATTGGAAGGTAAATACGCTTGTTTAGTTCATAATTATAAATGGAAACGTCATTTTGCTTCGGAGCCATCCCGAAACTTCACTTAAGAATTAAACGTTCTCGAACCTCCCAATTGGCAGAAAGTAGCCAGTGTAATTGGTCGCTCATATTATTGGGTGCCTTCTTTCACTCCAACTCAGGTTTTGTTAGCATTCTATAATAACACCATAATAACATAATATCCTAGAGTTAACCCGGCTAACCAATACGGTATCACGAGATTTGCTCTCACCCCGGTTCAACCCCCATTCTAATCTGTTAAGCCTCACCTGATCTTCCCCTGCATTCAAACACTTATCGAGGGATTTTTCGAGTTCAACTAAGTCATGCGCAAATCTTGGGCACTGTCTTTCCTCGGTATTGGACAAGAGTAAGAACGTCGCTTACGAATAACCATCTACCCATAAAACTAGCATGCCTGCTCAGTCACCAGAGGTAACTAAGAGGGTGGATTAGGGCAAATCCAACTATTCGTTTGAGAAAAGTACCTAATAGCAGGGATTAAAAAACCGGGAATTACCAGTAGTTACACAAAATACAAGGAATTGCTATTCAATTCGCAATTTATAAACTACCTCCAAAAGTGATCAAGACTGAGCTCCAAGTATCACATTAATGGTAATTAGTCGTTGCTTACCCCATTACTAGAGACAGGTAGTGATAATCAAATCTCTCAATAAACCAACTTTCTAACTAAACGGCTCCTAGTCAGCCTCTGCCTACTGACATAAATCAACATCGGAAGTCAATATATCAGGTATATATTATTTACACAAGTATCAGATGCATTAGAGAGAGAGAGAGAGCACGGATCACGAGAATAACCAGTGATAGAGGGGGTGGACGGTGAAATGAGATATGGAAGGAGAGATGGAACTAAAAGAATAAGAACGATTAAACACTTGGACACAGAGAACAAAAGTACATACTCACAAATACGGAGAGTAGGAGAGGAGAAAATACGTGTAGGTGTTTTGTGTGAAGAGAGCAAGTGGCATTAGCAGTAATACATGTCAAAAAAAACATGTGTTTATTTCTGTCAAAAGTCCATGCTATTAAGTGGTTGTTATTGTTGAAGGTGATGCGTAAGGTGTGAAGACGGCGTTTGTTGTGTTGGTTGTGACTGCTTCGGCGCGCCACCCCCAGCTACCATCTGTTGAAACTGGAATCTACCCAACTGTTCTGTCAATGCAGGAGGCCGTTCAATAACACCGAACTTCCTTCTTGGACAACCACCCATTGCTAAAGCCGCGGCAGCTGCAAGAGCAGCAGGAGAAGTCGCAGAACACGAGGTTGGATGGATCAACGGCGAGTGTGCTGAAATCCTCTTACGCGGAACTCTAGCTGTTGTGGGAATATCTATTCCTATATCCTCATTCATTCCTCCAATTTCCATTGGAGTGAAATGAGAGGTATGGGCAAGAGCTGAGGTAAGAGATGGAGCTGGGGTCGGCTGAGAGAAGCTTGAGTGGTGGGAATCAGCTTCAATAGAACTTCCAAGACCACTAGTGTGTTCATCGTTGGCGCATTTCTCGTAGAGATGTTGTGAATCACAGGGGCACTGAATAAGAGATGCTGGAAGGGGCAGAAGACGCGACGAAGCCCCTGTGGCGCTGTAGCGACGTTGATTGCTGGTTAAACGCTGGGCTGAGGGTGGTTGATTGTGAGATTCGGAATGAGGATGAGTTACAACTGATGTAGAAGGCATGGCTGCTGAATGGGATGGAATAAAAGTGAGATCGATCTCGTGAGAATTAGTACCGGATGCGAGAGGGGCTGTAAGATGGGTACCAAAGGGATTTGGGACATTTGCAGAGAAGGGAAACACTGGACCATTGCCTGCAGGCAAGTGATTGATTGGGAAGGAAGGACCGCCGAGCACAGATGGGGTATTCTGCTATACAAAATTAAGACACACAACCTTAATGAGAGCCTTTTGTTCCCAAAACATGGCCAAATAAAATACACAATATGCGTTTATACAAGCACGAAAAGCAACGACATGACATCACGCGACCTGAAAGTTAAAGTACCACCGTCTAAGAACACGAAGATCCTATGTTCTTAATGAGGACACACGCCCACACACAAGCAACACGGGGTTAATTTCGCCAGGAGGAGCGTTATACGCCCCCTTCCTCCTACACGAGGCAAATGGATACACACACACACCCACTTTCTCTTTCATTGCCTACTATAATTAATCGTTTTAATTAGCTTTGAAATTTGTCCGATTAATGAGAAAAAGTACTTTTGTCCTCTTACTCTGCCAAAACTTGACAGAAACATTTGGTATGTTGACGCGTCTTATTCCGGGCTTCGGTAAGGCCCCGCGGTAACTAAATTCACCACTTTTACCTCTTCTAGTCCAAGTATTGCAAAATAAATTTGCCTAATTCTCCTAATTAGAAGGAAGTCCTACAAATGTCCTTGCTCTTAAATTTTTTTGCCAATATAGCAATCAGTTAGGTTATTGGATTAAATTCCGCAGACATTACCTCCAAGTAAACGTTTTCAATTTTAGGGTTCAAGACATTGCTATTCTAAGCGCACACTGCTGCTCCACCAAATGAAATTGACGTTTGTTTCGAAGTACTTCAATCCACATTCGCCTACATCGCCTTATCCTATACTTGCAAGTAGTTAAGCCCTGTAATATCTGGAGCAACTAACAATAAGTTATTCTGATTGTTTGCCACGACGACCAAGTAAGTAGACAAAAGAAAGCTTCAAGGTTTTGTTGTGTGAGTGAATTGACTGATGACACAGAGGAATGGAAAACCTTTCATATGAAGGCCGAAGTCGAAGGAGGGTCAAAAGGAGGTCACAACTTGATCATTTTAGCCTGCTTCGATGCCTATGAAAGTCTTCAAGAATATCAAGGCGAGATTGCTGATAAAGAATAAAGCAAACTACGCAGTGACGACGATTCGTTGAGAAAACATAGGCATTAAATGGAAGCATATGCAACTCATACTACCTAATCATATGATTAACCCGGTAAATTCATTAACCACCAGTACAGAGCAAGTATAAGACCAGACCTTATACGATAAAGATAACACTTGATTGTAAGATCGAATACAACTTCAATCGTCAAATATCATTCGAAAAGGTCAGCCAGTATCAAGTCCTATATAAATGGGAGAAAATGTTCCCACTTCTAAAAAATGATCCATTCATAATCAGCGCGCCAAGTAAACCATTAATTACTTAGTTATTTATCCAAAAATAAACAACTTAAATTTCCCACCCCTATTGACAGCAGTTCTGTAACCCCGGCTCACTATTGGAAATGCATTTTATCAATCTGCGCATTACGAACCAAATAAAAAAACTCACTTTGGGTGCAAGTTCCCCTCCAAACGAAAATACAGGTGCAGGGGAAGATGCAACTCCTTCTGATTGATAGGGAAACCAGTCCAACTCGAAACAATCTCCACCACAATTTCCACCGGCATTGCTACTTTCTGCTGTGCATCTGCTGCTCAAATTAATTGGAGAACCGGGGGGAGAAGGCAACGAATCAGTCCTACGCAAACCACCGCCAGTTCCAGAAACTGAAAACTCCGCAACTAAGGGAAGAGTGGGTCCAAACAGGAAGCCCTGACGGGGATGAGACGAGGGATAGATTGGTGCATCTCTATTAGTCAACACAGTTCCACCACCATTGGAGGAAATAAAAGCGTTGGCATTGGGGTTGACGTTTCCACAAATAAATGGCGTGGTACTGGGCGTTCCAAGAGAGATCGATGGCTCATTGCGATCCTGATTGTGGAGCTGATGGTGTTGATGCCAATTGGGAAGGTGGTGTTGAAAGAGGAGTTCCGCAGCAACACCCCTGGAGGGGCAAGATGAACGAGCGTAGGGTTGTTGGCATTGATGATGTTGGTACACCTGTTGTTGTTGCTGACATTGGCGTTTCCTCGTTTGACATAGGACCTCTATCTCTTCTGTTCGAGGAGCTAGGGTCTGAGACAGACTATGTCTATTCTTTCGAAGGGACTCCCCAAGCAGAAGATAAGTTGCAGTTAAGTGGTCATATGCACAACGTTTTAGAGACTAAAATCGAACACCAAATAGAGGTATAAAACAGTTGAGGAGAAAGGTATTAAGAGGGTAGGAGAGGGAGTAATTTACCTCAAGTAGTTGGCCTCGATCAATACCCGAGTTCTCCATAATCTGGATCACAGTGTCATCGAGTTTGCCAGCCTACAGAAAAAGAGAGGTTAGAATGGAGTCACGTGATGGCGACACGTACATGTGCTTCACCAAACCCCCCAGCTACAATTGGCAGTCTGCGTACGCGCGCACAAGCCAAGAGGGCACGAAAAATTCAGTTGGTAGTTAAAGAGCCATGGAGCAAGAGGGATAAGTGAAGGAGGCAGACAAAAGGATCAGATATGTGGGAAGGGTTAGGTAACTGGCTAGAGAGAGCATGGCTAAGTTGGGTCAGTCAGAGTGCATTCGAAACAGCAAAAACAACATCAGCAACAATAGTGTCCACTGGCCACAATGGGACTAAGAAGTAATAATAGACGGTCACCACACCCGATAACTCCTGTTCCTCTATAAATGGGAGACAGAGCGAAAGCACATGGGGGAGGGATGTAAACACGTTTCTGCTCTTTAATCAAATTGCCACATTTTATGCAACATGAAATTTAAAGTAACTTAAAGAATATTTAAAAATGCTTAATGTGGTGAAGGATAATTACAAATGAACCCACTCAAATCATTAATCAATGACCATTTAAATCTGTCAGCCAATTTAGATGAATGATGGTGTATAAAGTGTATTTCGAACACAAGCACACGTTACGTGTTCTCCCATGACTGAACTTGTAGTTAATTTGATTGGGATTTAAAATGAAACTAACTATTGTTTCCCTTTAAGACACCTACTTCTTTTAAGACGAAATTGTATTTCGGGTTTCCAATTGAAAAGCGCTTGAATTCCTGTCTAATTAGGTTACGTCTAGTCGACTAATTAAATTTGCATCACTGCTGCTATTGCCACTGCCAGTGCAATTAAATTACACGCAAAGAAAGCTTCCAAAAGAAAAAAATAACAACACCGAGAGCAATCACCCTGTAAGTAGAACTAAGCCTACGACAGAAAGAGAAAGATGAACCCATCCGAATACACACACAACAAAAATATAAGTGCGAAAGCAGTGCGCAAGACAATAAAACGTTAATCAAGTGAGTTCTTCGATGCCGTCACACCCGACGCCCCATTGCAACGCTATGAAAATTCACTCAATTGATATATATATATATATATATATATATATATATATATATATATATATATATATATATATATAAATATATATATATATATATAATGATGAGGTATAAAATCTATTGACATAACTAGCCTAGACTACAACAAATCTACTGTCTAATCAGACTTGTGTGCGAATACTTATGCAAAATTGCGCAGAATATGCATATATTTAACTGTAGTGACAATACGAGTGAGTATGACGTCATAAGATGTTTTAATGACACTATTCTACACACAGGACACACGATGTGTGTGTGCAAATTTACGTACAATGTATACGTCATTCACATTTACGCATCAGGCAGTAGAATAGATTTTCGTCATTAGAGGAAAGCACAAACTTGTTTTTACCATTCCATCAGTTCTGAGCTTTCTTCTACTTCGGTTGACTGATGGCAGAAATGGGAAATCTTGGAAGGCAATTGAATGCAAGATTTGCATCCAATCGATGACAATAAAAGCTTAACGACAAGTCATGGCGTTAAGTATACCTCGAAAAAGTACAAGTTACAACCCAAGGTGTGCAAAAAAGCGTCGGTTCCAAGATCGAAATATCCGAAGTGTTTTGCCTTCGCTCGGAAAATGTATTTTTCGTAGAGGCAGACTCGCTATATTCAAAAAAAGTTAACACCATTGAACTTAAAAAGGCCAATAACGCAGGAGGATAATCCTGTATAATTAGTGTCAATAAACTATGCTACGGAGGAAAAAGGATATGCGTAAGGGACATAGGCGAATAGGTAGCTATTCACTTTAGATTTGGCAATTCAATAATCCAACAGCCTGCAGAAAAAGGCCCGCTTCCTACCCAACACGAGAAAATCGTTGTTAGCTTCGAATTACTTACATAGTCTGGGCTAACTGCAAAGTATGACTGTGTTCATGTAGGCATAATAAGACTGTAATTGCACAATCCCCACCCATTTAATGGACACTGAGAAGTTAGAAGTGGAGTAAAACTTGGAATCATGCCTTTATTATAATAATTCATTTGGTGATTCTTCCACTTCATTCAAATTTAGGATCTAAATGACCACATGCCAAGAATAGGTGCCACAGGGAAGCCTTGTACTACGCAGATGTAGATGATGAGTCGTTAATCGAAGAGCAGAAAATAATGATGAATCCGCACTGGAATCTTACGCCCTAAGTCTTTAAGTAGTCACCACGTTTCATTCCAACTATCAAAAGCAACCTACTAGGTCAGGCTAAGAACCTGCTGGATTACTACGCATGACGAGAAGGTGACAAATAGCAGTAAAAAAGGAAGAAGGAGGCCAGTACGTTCAACCTGACCAATAAGAGAGACCAAATGAAAGCGTGGGCGTAGACACTTAGTATGCATTAGCCTACGTAAGCTTTCCTTAGGCATTCAAAATGCCTCTAAGCCCAGTCCTTTTTCCTACTTTCGTTCAATCTATTTTTCCGTTGTGGAAACGCGAGTTCCATCACTTATCCTATGTCAGATACCGTTGTCCTTCTCCAAAGATCATGAGAATAGAACACAAATAGGCCAAAATAATAGAACGAATTGGTCGAGCACAAAAAGCGTGGGATCAGAACAATTCAACCACTCTTCATTCCCCCCCCCCCCGTCTACATCTCTCTCACGCTTCCCCAAACGTTACAAATCGAACATGAACGTGGAGAAGAGGTATGAAAGAATTGGTGACAAATATGATTGGCCGGCAAGTAACCCAACTAACCAATCACACGCATCCGACAAGTTTGCCAAACCCATTGTGCACGCACCAAGCATCCTGAGCTCTCTAGTCGTATGAGTGACGTCATATCGCTGTGATATGAGCCAATCAGAGACTCGAGAATAGGAGGGGAAAAACTACCAAAGCTACCCATATACGCACACACTACGCACAAGCTGGGTGATGGAAGGTAGGTAAGTTGGATAAAGGGGTCAGTTAGAAGCATGCATTCGCGGAATGAAAATCACGCCAAATACGTAAGCGCGAACATATATGACGTCAAACAGAAGGCGCTTTCATATACGCACGTAAAACCAGGTTTAGAGAGAAGTAGGTGATACGCTTGGCTACGGTGCAGCATAACAGCACTGTGCAAAAATGGATTTAACTAGGATATAGCAGGCAGTTGGCAAGATGTAAGAGATAGAGGGAGGATTGTAAAGTACCTTCATTTCAGCAGCCAGAGTTGGAGATGGTGGAGATTGAACCGAAGAACGCGGCCGATGAGGAATAATAGAGGAGCCAGTTTTCCCTGTATCCAATGAAGTCGAGAGGCGATGAACCGAGGCCGTGTCAGGTTCATCCATGGGTATAGGGAAGGGCACCGGGCCGACATCATTGATTTCAGAGAGCCACTTGGAGGCCTTGATCTCTGCTACTGAGGGCCGTTTGTCAGGTGATTTGGCCAGCATACGCTTTAGCAGGTCTTCACACGCTATAAGCAGACAGAATAAGAGGTTTTGTGTCTACGCCAGAGATGATAGAGCGAAAGTACCTTTAAGAGGAAAGTGTAGTAACCTTGCCAAACATGGCTAGACGTGGTGACTAGCGTTATTTTTACACATAGTCACGCGGAGGGTATTGTCATTGCGTGTTTTTATGGAATAACATAAACCACCTTCAATTTTATTAAAAATGTTTTCTCTCAAGTGGCATGTTAATTGGGTAGCAGACTATAAGTGGGCACTTGAAAGAACGGTTTGCACTTGATTAGGAGTGTGTTGAAGTGGTTATGCGCTTGAGGTCATCATCATCATCATCAAACAGAAATCACAAGAAAAACACGTTAATACTCACACAGAAAAACGTAATGGTGGGACACGTGCACAAAACCAATGGAGAAGTCAAAGAAATGGGAAGGCGGAGAAGTGAATTAAAAGTGGGAGAATGAATTGAGTGGCACGTAAATGCGTAAATGAGTGGACATTGACCGGATGACTTTGTCATAGACAGACGTCTCCATCGCCCTCACATATCAAGAAAATGGTGAAAATTGACTTTCAGGGGAATATCGATGAAGTGGGAAATCTCCATTGATTGGTGCTTGAATAGTCCATTAGTGTGCTCTCGTAGAAATAACCGCTCAAAGACTCAGTATGACCACTGAACTGAAAATTTGAATCCCTTATCGATTTTTACAAGACTTCATTCTATCTATTCGTCCTGCATATGAATCAGTCTTCAAATTTTAAGTTTATCCATTTCCAACAACCTTGTGTCTTGGCCTTGACTCTTTCCCTTTCCCCCCCCCCCCCCCCCCCACTTAGTTCTCTTTTAGCTTATTAATAGCATAACTGTAGCCTTTGTACGTTTCTCTAATAACAAAAACATGCTACCATTTGTTCAATATGATACCGGAGTATATGAGATTGAAATGTCGATAGATTAAGTAGTTTTTTCACGTCTAACACTTGTTTCTTCCTTGTCTGCTATAATAGTACCTTGCAAGAAACTGTCATAGTAATGGTTATAAACAAAATTGATGTGATTCCCTTACACACCCCCCCCCCCCCCCCCCCCCCCCCCACCCTCTCCATATCTCCACCCCACACGCGTCAGTATAAGTAAACAGTGAAATCGTAAAAAAATAAGCAATACACAATCACTTGCACAACAGAACAATTCACGATTTTGGTTTTGTTGGCGTAACTCAGACAACCCACAAAAAGAAGTGGAATACAATTTCAACTACACTGGTTTCTTAAAACGCATCACAAGGTAACCGCCAACAGATGCAATTTAAGCTTTCAGAGTGAAACACATTTCTAACTCTTGGCAATCAGGATAAAGATTTCAAAAAAAGGCTACTAAGAGGAGGAGGACTTACACATCGAGAGCCAGTAGGGAACTCGAACATGCTCCTCTAGGACCTGCCGTCGAAGACAAGAGACTTCTTGAGCATTGAAGGGTAGTACACCGCAGACAAGGACATAGAGGATAACTCCTAGGCTCTGAAAATAGAAGTCATCAAGGCACAAGTAAATATAGTTTTTATGAGATTTTCTATTGAATTCCTTTTTTCTATTAAGTCTAGGTGTTTGAAAATTTACTTCTTTTCGAATGTCTTCCAACCATGTACATGCAAGAAAAAAGATATCTGTTGAATCTAGCACAGATATTAAAATTAGGCCTGAAATCCGGAAGGAAATGCTACGTCTAAATAACTAATTTACTAATTTCTAATGGTGGTTTAAATAAAATGACGAGATAAAAGTGCTGTAAAATTGGCAACAGCAATTTCGTTTAATGGCAAAGCCTAGGATTACACATAAATAGTTGGTGATCTATTTCCAAGGGAACCAGAGAGTATGAATCATTTATTTCGGCTAAAATAAGCTGATACACACGAACACAAGGCTTCATCACCGAGGCCTGTTCAACGTAATATTTCCGAGAAAACTATTTGGTAATACAAACAATCACTTCATGACTAACATGAAGTCGAATGAAATCAATTTCGAGTAAATGGAGGCAAAAATGTTTGTTGAGAATGTGGCAAACATATAATACTTACAAGTCCGATAACAGGAGATAGTGGGGATAGTGATATGAGTGGCCAACAGCAATGGTTAGGTCCAGTTAACATGAGTGGTGGAATTTAATTTTCCAATAAGAATCGATCTTGTCAACCCGTCGTTTGATGAAATTGTGATAGTTTTTGTACGATGCCAAAGTGAAAATACGTATAATAGACAGTAAACTGACACGTCTTATATAGATATGATTGAGTAGGAACAGAAAGGACAGTCCATGAAAGGCTAGGGAAAGGAGTGCAGGCCAGAAGCAAACGCCTTATCCACCAAAAGTGAAACCGACGAGGGGAGGAAGGAAGGGGGGGCCGAGAGGGGGGTGCGGCCATTCGTTTCATCCTTATAAACACGTGGGCGGGGAAATTCGGCAGCTTATGGAAAGCGAACTCATTATTACATTCGCACTTGTGTTTCCCCTCCAGATAACATCCTGAATTATGACTAAGTTGACTAAATCGGTACAAACAGAAAATACTACCTTAATGCTAAGCAGGTAGGAAAATTTTGAGGCTATTACCATCAAACTATATAAATGGCTATTAAACAGGATAGGATTAAAGGTCTTGAAGACAAATAGTCACAAGTACAAGAGAAGCTTTTCGTTCCTGAAACCTCCAGCATCTGCCCCACATACTTCTTTCAATAAACAATACTAAAATTCGCCACTATATCGTAGATTTAATCTAAAATTGTGACAAGAGACTTACCCAAATGTCTGCAGAAACGCCGAGATAAGGTTCGCCTTTGAAGATCTCTGGTGCAGCATAGGGCGGACTCCCACACCAAGTTGTTAGAAGTGAATCCGGTCCACTAGGTTGAAAGGTACCAAATCCAAAATCTTGTGGGGGAAAAAATAGACATAAATCAATGCTTTGGGAAGATATTTGTTTTGATTTAGACTTAGGAGGTCTATACAGAGCGGCACAACTAGTCGAATGATCAAAGGGAAGAGATTCAAGTAGGACATATGCATAAACATTTTACCCTTTCGTTCATAAATAAAGGGTAGGCGCACAACACAGAGCAGACATAAAGCAACACGCAGAATTATACCACCTCTTGTCCAAAAACTGGGCCACATACACACACAGGGGAGAGGTAAGGACGGATAGATACACAGACATCCAAATGTGTTGTCAATAAGACCAACGTGCATAAACAAGACAACTCTGAGAGATAAGGCCACTTAAGGCAGCAAGCTTACCAGCCAATTTGATAGACATATGTTGATCCAGGAGCATATTTTCTGCCTTGAGATCACGATGGACAACATTATTGAGATGGCAGTGCTCCACAGCTGAAAGAATCTCCATGAATTTATGTCGAGCGACCTGTTCACTCAGGTATCCATTCCGCGCAATATACTCTGCATAAAAAATGAGAACGAGCTGATTATTTACCTTCTTGAGCAAAGAAAGCTGTCTACACGCTAGCCAAGAGGCCAGAAATGAAATCATGCGAGGGAGAGAGAGAGTGTGTGTGCAGAAGAACATGGGCTTAAATTTCGTTAAAGTAGCAGAGATGGAGAAGAAATGACACCATCAATACTCAACAAGTTAACGAGAGAAATATTGTGAGCCAAGAAGGCTTCAATTTTTAAAAAAAGACTTGTCGCACATACAGAAGCATAGGCACACGATGTGACTGGACCCATGATGCCTAGTTAAGACAAAAGTGAGCTGCAAACAGAGATACCTAGAAAGACTGAAACATTTTCAACCAACAACCAGAGAGCGTGGAACCTGGCAGCGACGTTAATAAAAGAATAGCTGGCTGGATAAGTAGCGTAGAGAGGGAAATCTGTGACCGAGGAGAGGAGAAGAAAGAACACTTTGAAAAGGATGGGAAGGCGCAAAGACACCAGAGTGAACACGCACTTAGCATAACATCCACTCATTCATTTATTTCAGTGAGTGAAAGGAAAGTTAAAATAGACCAATCGTGAACTAAAGGCTTATTTTCCTACTTTTTGTCAAAATCAAACTAACTCGTACAGCGTCAAAATTATATATTAAGTCGAATAAGTTAAATGAATGAGAAATGTATGTAAAGACTTACAAAAACTGCAAACTAAGCTTACCTATTGAAACAGTTTAAGTAAAGGAAACTATTATTAAAAGTCAAGAACCAAATAAAAAATTGGTTAATATAAGACGGATCCTTGCTATAGATATAATAAAAATATATTCAGATGATGGGCAAACAATAAAGTAAAAATTTCGAACAAATAACCAGCTTAATGATAAGTTAGCAAGGATTAAAAGAAATATTTAGAACTAACCATAGAGTTCTCCATTGGGGAGGTATTCGGTAACTATACAAAGGAGTTTCTCTGATTCCATAACTTGGTATAATTTAATTATATTTGGATGATGGAGAGACTTAAGTATATCCGCTTCTCGCTGGGCCTTCTTCAAATTCTCTTCATTCAACTTTGTTTTGTCGATAATTTTTATTGCAACCTAAAATTAAATTTTTCTTGTAAGAAATAATATCAAAATAACCCACTTTAACATTGGTTACAGTGTGACGAGCAAGCTTGACGAAAGAGAAATTGCCCTTCCCAATAGTCCTCTCGATAATATAAGTCCCGACTCTTTGAGGCCCCCCTGAAGCTTGATGAGATGATGATGATGACGAAGAACAAGTAGAAAATTTAAGATCCCTAGACTCGTCCATTTTTGAGCCACGCAATGACTCAACCGATTGTGATAAGGATTCGCTATAAGGTGCTGGTTCAGAGGGGGCATCAATAACCATTAGGAATAAATGAAAATTGATTGTATATGCAAAAGCCTTACGCTTTCCTTTACTCAGAATACAACAATCTACAATGACACAGCGACACTAAAAGGTGAGATGCACTGTTTACGGGAAAACGCATGACGAGAAAGCGTCCAATGATTGGTTAACCTACAGCTGTAGTTCGTTAGAACATTAACCAATCAATGGAATACAAAACGCCGCACTTCTGCGATAGTTGAAAAAATAGCATCAACATTATTTCGAAGTATAAAATTTTCCGAACTTATAAAAATAAAACCAATTTATTAAAACCCATTTAATTTATTTTCTGAAATTATGATGATACTTATATACTAAAACAATAATGGTTTTTAACTTTGCATTTGATTAATATGAGGTTCTATAAGAATCAAGAATTCAATTGATATAAAAATAACATAATCCCCATTTCTTATTCAATTAATATAATTACTTTTTATTTACTGTTTGAACACGTATGTTTACTTATTTGTTATTTCTATTTTGCACATATTTTCCAATCACCAAAAAATTCATTAATACAATTCTATTAATAATTAACTGCTCTATTTAAAAAAAATGGAATGCCCCTGAGTTACAATTGAAATAGTAAAACATAAAATTTATTTGACACTTTCTTATTAAAGACCATCAGTCTACGAATTTGGTTAGTTATTGGATTTGAAAGAAATTGTAAATCAAAGAAATGGGTTTATAAGTGTATGCTTTTATTCCAAGAGATTTAACGGAAACAAGGCTTATGTTTTTATTCATATTCGTTATTCATGTTTCAGCTGCTACTATCGTTCACGATAACAAGCATATCAAAATTCAAATATGACTTTAAAATCGGCCAATTAATAGACCTTGTTTATAGGTTTGTAACGTGCTAGACTGCCGCTATTTTATCTTTGTGATGTGTTTAATCAATTTACTTGGCTATACATTTTAATCTTGAAAATACACGCAAGAGTTCCTGAAGTTGAACTAAATTTTATTAGGTAGCAATATGGTACATTGGCTCCACAGTTATTCATTGGATTAATTAATGCTGTTGCCCTGCTTAGTTCTCGGCTTTTACTTTACCCTAATCTTATAGATAGATGTGACTTATCGGGGTCGACTTAGATACCGGAATGCATGCTTTTTAAAAATAAAGAGCCTTGTTAAATGATTTCTCGATTGATGATAACTTTTAAACGCAACGTTTACACGATTGCTTCGGTTACGTCATTATACTTAGATTCGGTTCTTCATTGAGCTATGCAATCTGTGTCCCTAAATAGCGACAATTCACGGACAACTAAACTCGCAGTGGTATATACGTATATTCATATAGATTTTTTAGATTTTTGTCGGGTTAAGATCGAATGGTAAATTAAGCACTGCGCTCGAATCCCCATCCAATCGATCAGGTATATGGTCTAACTATGCATTATTCCGTGGGTAATAATTTCAAGAAAAGATTCAAAGTTGATTGAATATCTACATCGGTTTTATTCCTATTTGATTAAATTTACCATGAAATGAAACCAAATATAAGCAGGTATTCGTGAAGAGATATTGGACTAGTTAGAAGCATAATTCAATTGCACTTCAATGAAAAGTGACTCAAACTACTTGATTAAATTAAACTCAATTCTGATTATACATATATAATAAGAAATAACCTGGTCCCCATTAATTTCCAATTGTTCTTCTATTAGGTAGATCCAACTATTTCCCATTATATACCGCAAAGCACACCAATGAAGTGAACTTGATATTTGCCGAATGTTTACCTATCGTATTTAACACTAGTTTTTACATCTCTTGTTTTCATAAAATTGAATACTTGTACGAATCGTAACTGCAATAAGCCAGTACACATATGTCTTCTGGTAGCAATAATGGAAGAAAATCTATATTCGAGTATTATGAAGAACAGTGTAAACTAAATTTGTTTCTAGGCCACATCAAACTGAAGTAAAATAAGTTTCAATTACGTGGAACTGATCCCCAGCAACTTCATAAATTATATGGGAATATAATAATATATTATGTTGGTCCTGTTGAATTGTGTAGTAATTTAACATGGGAAGCAGAGTCGAAATGACACCAAAATAGTGTGTTTTGGTCCTTTTCTCTAAGGGTCAAATCAATGCACTTCTACAGTGCCTGGAGATTATAGGATTCATAGGATTCCGTATTTGAAATCCAAGACAGGGTTGGACAGGGTGCAAGGAGGTTTCCAATCAGATACAAGTTTGTTGCAAAGTCAAACAAAGCTCCCTAACCATTACTGTAAGGCAATGGAATGGTAGTTAGACGATTATAAGTTTGCTGCACAAGTGTACCTTGGCTCAGAGGTCTGCTCAGCCCCCCCCCCCTTCCCTACCTTCGATTCCCGTAGCTCCCTCTTTTATTTCGTACTTCTTTGCCTCTCATTTCTTCTCAATTGTCAAAGCACTTTTGTGCGGAACAGCTCTTGGTCATCTTAACTGAAAGAGGTTCATGTAACCTGATAGTATATGGAAGGACTTTAGCTCTACCAGAGAGTATTTAGCGTTGCTTTGCCCGGATCTCAAAATACATTTGTTTGCAATTAGAGCTTGCTCAGGACACGAGGTAACCCAAAATCCCATTTTTTAAATGTAACTATGCCGCTAGACTTTTAATAAAGTGTATGGGCGAGTCTTTAAAGAAAAATGTTGTCTTATTAAACACAAGGTCCTTGAAACGCCAATGAAGTCAGAATTTTTTGAAGAAATTACTGGTGAAAGTTTGTGCGTAGTTCTATTTTCAACTAAATCCGCGTTTCCTGAGCGAACTAAAAGTAATGGTGGAAAATTTCTTACACATATGCACATATATTATTTGTTTTCGAAGATGATGTGACATTTTTCATCCAAGTAGTTACAGAAGGGAGAATCATTAATATTAATAATAGTTTTCGCATGTGGAGACATGGAGTAGAACGTCTAAAAATTTATGCTGGTTAATGCGCAGGACTTAGAGCAGGGGTAATTCATCATTAATAATTTTGAACCAGAGTATATTTTATCTCCAAAACATTAAATTGATAAATATTTTATGCCCAAAATTGGGACTTACTTCTAACTCCATGACGTCATATCTACAAACCAACTTATTCTATTTCGATTTCTTTTTTTCATTTTTAAAGTAAATTTCCTGAAAATAAAAAAATTCATTTACATGAAATAAAAATGAAGGCGGAGTACGATTTTGAGATATTTATCTTGTCCGCCAACTAAATATTTTACAACTTCCATTTTGGTTATGACAAGACAATTAGGGATTACGTGTTTACTTAGTTTCTCTTTAATTAACTTTAACTAGACGTAATATTGGCTCTTACATAAACTTTCTCCAGGTAAATTGAGTTAATTATAAGTTCAGATTTACGCCCATATAAGATAGTGAATAACTTTGGTTTGACAATCTTAAATAATCTTTCATAACTTAAAGAAGTGCAAACTCCATCAATCGAATATTTACAATGACTCATGCATTAATATTTATTCAAATCAAGAGTCCAGAAAATGGGGTTTTGGTAAGTTTTTATTCTCCAAGCCCACTGCTACCTTCAGCACAATGTGGTATAAGGCAGAAAGGTGATGAACGGGGTCTATTGAGAGTGAAGTGACGTAGTCACTCCCACATCGTTTTACCAACCTTCATATGTGCAGCTTCTGCTCAACGATTGATTCTCGTACGCTCTCGTGCCAAACGAGAAAATACTTATAGTTTACAAGATATTTGACTACTACCCAACTTGAACTTGCTTTAACAATGTTTTGCACAAAATAATAGGTCTATACGACCAGCATCCAGTGTTTTATCAATGGATTGGGACTTGTTGTCTGAAGTGTAGTGAGTGCTGTCAAACTGTTAATAAAGGAGAGTTTTATCCAAAGCAAAGTGGGGTGAAATGAATGCAAGTTGACCAAATCTTAAAATATACTGACACTGAAGTGAAATATGAGGTAGCATAGACTCTGGAAAATTATAATACCACAGAGGATTGTTACAAAATATTTTTGGTCATTGAACTTTCCCACACTCGCACAAATACCCTTCCACCCACTTAGAGATGAGGGAGGTTTACTTGATCTCAGGTGAGAACACCTTTAGACCCCATGATACAGTTTAATATCAGCAAGGTTACTACAAGCCTCTCCGACTACCTGAATCTATATTTCTTAGTAAACTCTTTATTCCGTTATATATATATATATATATATATATATATATATATATATAACGGAATATATATATATATATATATATATATATATATATATATATTCTTATTCCTTAAAGGCTTTGAAATACTCCCTGTCATTTAACAACCAATAGGATTTCACTTGCAGCTGCTCATAAAATTGTGCATTTTCCTTAATTATTCCTCCTGATAGGGAAGAAATAATGCATGAGATAAATTATCATTGTCATAATTAGTGGAGAAAATGAGTTCTACTTACGCATCTTTAATGAGTTGCTGTTTTTATAAAAGAATCTGCCGATCAAGTAATGAAAGGCGGCCACTGTTTAGCCAACTTTTGGAGTGAATACCATTCACAGTGCCAAGTTCTTACTGGTTAATATTATCCAATTTCAATGGAATTGCGATTCGCGAATTATTCCGATCATTTACGTATAACCGTATATGCGAAACCAGCTCATGTGTTTATAATTTCCGTACTACTCCTCTCTTGCTGAGTCTGTCAGTGATATGAAGCGGATTGCTACACTAGTAAAGCCTGACTGACTCAGAAATCTGTGTGGCAGATTCTCCAACATCTAGCCAAACTCCCAGAACTAGATAAACTACAGCCCGGCTATAGAGGAAAAAGACGTATGGCAAGCAACACGTTTACCCAGTAAGTATTTATTTATATCAAATGGCAGGCGTTTAATGGTTATTATTAGCCCTTTAGGTGACTTCAGACTTCACAGGCGGGAGGGAACATCAAAGTGAAAAAAAAGTGGAGAGG